AAGGAAGGAAGGAAGAAAGGAAGGAAGGAAGGAAGGAAGAAGGAAAGGAAAGGAAAAGAAAAGAAAGGAAAGGAAAGGACAGGAAAGGAAAGGAGTGAAAAGGAAAAGAAAAGAGTAACATAAAAATATAATTAAATAAATATACTCACTATTTCTGCTGTATGACCTCTAAAGGTATGGTAACATTTTCCCGTTTCTGCACTCCATAGCTTACAAGTCTTATCAAAGGACCCAGTAGCAATTTTGTCACTAAGATTTAAAAAAAAAAAAAAATGTGGATTTTGAAAACAAATTCAAGCACAGTGTATGATACACTGATTAAGACAAGAGATATTAATACATCAGTCTATCTACTCAGGAATTTACTTTGTTTTTAAAACAATAAGCACTCTGACATTTGTTTCAGTGGACAACAAATTTAAGGTCTAATTTTTCAATAGTATCAGTTTAAATGTTTAATTTTAAATATTTTACATTAAAGGTATAAATTTATGTTTGGGATTACAATAAATTTTTAAATTAGCACAATGAATATGGTACAAAATTCAGTTTGGAAAATTCTTATCAGTGCTCGCTTCGGCAGCACATATACTAAAATTGGAAAATTCTTATCAAATGGAAATGAATAATGTCTGAGCTGCAAGAACACAGAAAAATTCTATTAGTAGGTCTAGGATAATGTTGAATTTAAAAGAAGAATGAAAAGATATAAATCCAATTAACCATATGGCTAGATAAGGTTTTGGGAACTTAGTGTCTCCTTGGGAAAATAATGCCAATATTACTCTAATTGTAAGGTCCTTGAACAAGAGGGAGGTTCTAGAGAGGAAATATGGTAAAGACCAGTCCCTTTCAAACAAGAGGCTTCCAGTGTATACCGTAGAGCAGAGTTAGGGTCAACATCCAACAGATTAGAGTAGGTTGGCCTGTTTAACCTTTGACCATGGAACTGAAGCTTTTCCTTTACCGTTGACCCCTGTCTTTTACAGCAAGTCATCACAGTGTTCACCCAACTGGGTCATCAATTACAGTGCAAGTTCATTGTTCCAAAGTGCGAAAGGTCTTAAGATCCCAAATACATATCATAAAGCAAATTCCAAACTCCAAACCCTCTGGCCCCTTGTCTCTGCCAGAACAGCCCTCCTGAAACAGCACTTTCACTGAGACTTTCATCTCAACTCGGTCCTCCAGAACAGAGTTCAAACTATACAGAATGTTCTGACCTCGCCCTCTTCTGCTTCTCACCACGAGATGTCCACTAGAGAGCTGGGGGTGCTGGTGAGCCAGATGAAGTCCCACCTACCCTCCAAGCTACAGGGGGCCCTCAGCTAGGAGTCCTCCCCTTCCCTCTGTCCTCCATCTTCCACGCTTCTGCTTGAGCCCCATATCATCCTCAAAGTCTCTACCAGGAGAAATCACATGGATCTTTCTCCTTGCAGTAAACCATTGCTGTTTCGTTCTAGTCATCATAATACCTATATTTATTGAAACAGCTTGGCAAATGGAAAAAGTCAAAGTGAGCCATCAAGAAAAAAGACACACATTAAAATTTTTTTACTCAAATATGCAAGGCCAAGGCCTTTTCTTTGGCTAACTAGAGCTCGTTATTTGTCTTCCAGAAATCATATCCAACCTCTACCACTTCCAATTCTTTTCCTAAAAATGGAATGAGAACATAAACATACTTGCAGAACAATCTGAATACAAAGGTTTTCTAAATGTTTCAATGTGTTTTCTAAGTTTTACATTGATCTCATCTACAACTTCATTTAGTAGTAATTTTTTCGAAGATTTGCCTTATCTATGTTTTCACAAAAAAACAACAGCTTTATTTCCACACTCATATTGCATTAGTTTAAGCAATACTCAATTAAATTCCATAATTACAATTGAAAGCACAACCAACATAAGCAGGCTGATGGACAGACACAACTAACTCTTGGTAAGTTTATGCCTAACCAGTGGGACAAAGAAGCTGGGCATACCAGTGGCTGGCCCAGTGGCTGGCCCAGTTGCTGCAAGCATTCAGGGAGCAGAAGGAGAGCTAGAGAACTAGCTTAATCTGTTGAATCAGTTAACTAGAGGTTGGTTGAAAAATGCGATTATATTTTGTACTGTTAATGTAGCATGTTACTATACACATTTTTTCCTGCTAAAGACTGTAAATTAACTTCTAAACAAAGTAAACCATGTTATGTGGGTATGTCACAGTCTCCAGAAGCCATTGCTCTAAACATCAGTAGGAACTGCCTGTCAGAGAACCCCCAAGGGAAGGAACTCAGCTCTGCTTGGACTTGGACTCTCGCGCTCCTCTTTACTACTGTGTGATCCCGGGAAGGGTACTTGAACTTTATATACTTTATATGAGAACAGTAATACCTGTCCCAAAACTCCTTTAAGCACTGAGGAAGGCACTTAGAAGGCTTTCAAAGCACACATCAGGCACTTGACAAATTTTAGTTCTTTTTTTTTCCTTTCCTCCTCCAATAAAAGGCGGGAGAAAAGAATAAACAAAGTAATGGATTAATAAGGAATAAGAGAATGAGTGGATGTCTTCATACCCGTAAGGGTTGTTGAATGCTATGGCATAGACCACATTCCTGTGGCCCTCCAGGGTGTGAAGCTCCTCTCCAGATGCAGTGTCCCAGACTTTACATGTCCGATCATAGCTTCCTGTGATAAAGCTAACACAAGGAATATATATGAATCACAAAGTGACAATAGCAGTGTGTTAATAAAGACCTCATTTTTTTTTTTTACCCTCAAGATTGTGAGCCCATTTATCTTGCTTTTTACAATGGAAACTGTGGATGCAGAACAGTTAAGTTGGGAAAAATATCTAAATCCTTTGATTAGAAACTTTCAAATTTATCCCTAACCCAAAAAGGAGTCACTAAATAAAATAGAGTAATACTGCCAATAATCATTCTTATAATATAAATAGTTAATAATTAAAGCATTAAGCAGTAACATTTTCTGAAACTCTGACATATCTCGATAAACAGCATCATTCTTCCCATTGGTCAGACCATAAAATCTTAGCACCGCCCCCCCTCTTTCCCTCACACCTCACACACAATCTATTAGTAAATTCTGTTGGCTCAATCTCAAAGTACACCCCTAGGGTGGCCCCTTCTCATCAGCCTCCATCGCTTGCCTCAACAAATGAAACCATCTTCTATGAGTCTTGGCTCACACATGGTCCCTACAAGTCTATTTTCCACCCTGAAATTGGAGTCAATTTTTAACCTTCCTTAGATGGCTTCCTAGCAGTCTGGAGGAAGATCCAAACTTCTGCTCATGGCCCACGAGGCCAGCAGCACTGGCTGTCTCTGGGACTTCAACTTTGCCCCAAAGCACACCCTGTGCCGCCACATTGACCTCGTCGCTAGTCTCTGCAGAACTCGTTTTTGTTTTCCTGTATTACACGTGCTAGTTCCTCCACCCGCCTGGTTTACCGCCATTGTAAACCTGGAACATGACTGGCACGCTAGCCAGTGTTCAATGAATATTTGCTTCAGATTTGCAATCCTCTTACATGACTGTTCTACTACAGGAATAATTAGTATGTTGGCCTCTCAAATTTTAAAGTAAAATGATAGTAGCTTAGTTATTCCTTAACTATTCCATTAGGAAAGATACTTCCCCAACACAGAAAAAAAAATGCACAAAATTAGAAAGTCAGTCTCTATGTCAAGTGGGAATGATAAAAGTTGAGCACAAATCCTGACATTGAAACTCAAATAAACAAAAGGGTTGACAAGACAGGGTGTCTTTGATTCTTCTTTAGGCATTTCCTCTTAGCTTCTTCAGGGATGTAAATTGGTACAGTCGTGATGGAAGACAGGATGGTGGTTCCAAAAAAAATTAAAAATAGAACTACCATATGATCCAGCAATCTCACTTCTGGGTGCATATCCAAAAAATGAAATCAGAATCTCATAGAGATATCTGCACTCCCATGTTCTTTGCAGCATTGTTCACAGTAGCCAAGATATGGATACAACATAAATGTCCATCAAAGAATGAATGGAATATTATTCAGCCATGAGAAAGAAGGAAATGCTGCCATTTGCAACAACGTGAGTGAAACTGGAGGACATTATGCTAACTAAGTGAAATAATCCAGCCACAGAAAGACAAATATTGTCTGATCTCACTTACATGTGGAATCTAAAAAAAAAAAAAAAGAAAGTCAAATTCACAGAAGCAGAGAGTAGAACAGTAGTCACCAGGGACTGGGGAGTGGGAGAAATGGAGAGACGTTGGTCAAGGAGTATAACATTGCAGTTATGTAGGATGAGTAAGTCTAGAGACACAATGCAGAGGCACAGTGACTGTAGTTAATAATACTGGATTGAACACTGGAAATATGCTGAAAGAATACATTTCAAGTGCTTTCTTCACACGAAATGGTAACTGTGAGGACATAAAATGTTAATTAGCTCAACTGTAACATTTACTTTACTCTGTATTCCAATCATGTCACCGTAAATATATGTAAGTTTAATATTTTGAAAAAGAAATTTTTATTCCTTGGTTGTTAAAAATTAGAAATAAAGAATAGAAATGGAAATATAGAAATAAAGAGGTGGAGCACAGAGGATTCTCAGGGCAGAGAAACTGCTCTGTGTGATGTCTTAATAGTGGACCCCTGTCATTACACATTTGTCAACCCCTAGAATGTATGAAAGTAAGAGTGACCCCTAATGTAAACTACGAATTTTGAGTGATAATGAGGTATTTGTCAATGTAGGGCCATCAAAGAGGAAATCTGAGGGTGTGTGGGGATCAGGTGTACATGGCAAATCTCTGTACCTTCTGCTTAATTCTGCTATAAACCTAAAACCACTATAAAATATAAAGTCTAATAATAAATTTTTTTCATTTAAAAATTTTTAAATTTTAGGGGCACCTGGGTGGCTCAGTTGGTTAAGCACCTGCCTCTGGCTCAGGTAATTATCCTGGGGTCCTAGGACTGATCCCTGCATCAGGCTCCCCGCTCTGGGAAGAGTCTGCTCATCCCTCTTCTTCTGCCCCTCCCCACTCCTGCCCTGCTCGTGCTCTCTCTCTCTCGCTCACTCTCTCTCAAATAAATAAAATCTTTAAATAAATTAAAATTTTAAATTTTAAATAATAAATTTGAGAACCTTACCATGAGCCTGATTTATTAAGTGCAACATTAGTCAATGGCAGTATATGTGCTCTGAGAACCTTCAATGAAAGAAAACACAATTTGTTTTAAGCTGAAAAAAATTAAGTTTAACTCATTAATTTTAACTTCAAACTAATGAAGACATTCAAGTTTGTCTTAATTATAAATAAATGGACAATAGTCACTATCTGAACAAATGAAAAAAAAATACATTGTGCCTTCTACCATTAAGACCAATAAGACATTTGATAGTTACAAATAATTGCAAAAACATAATTAAATCTGTGTTTTCCATGAATTTGCTTTTAAGATAAATTACTGCTATTAAATAAGATATCAAATAGCACTAATTTATAATATTTTCTTTTAAGTACTGCACAAGGTTTTGTACATATGCATGAATAGTATATAGAGGAAATATACCAAACATGTTTTAAATATAGATTTTACAATTAGTTATTACTTTTGGAATCTTAAAGCTCCTCTAGAGTCAGGGTATATCTTATCTTTCTACATTATCAAACACATGGTGGATGCTAAATATTTATCGAACGAACATACATAAATTGGATAGTCTGTTTATAGATAGAGTGGCAAGGCTGGGACAGTCTCAGTTATTTCTACTGCAGGAGTATAATTATTAATAGGTTAGGCGATGTACAGAGCTCATATTTGAAGTTAAATAGTGCCACCTGCTGGAACAAAGAGATACCACAAGAATAATTGCTTCATTTTTCAATAATAATACATTGAAGGGATGACTACAAAAGACTGAATATCTTGTATCAGATAGAATATGTCAAGTATATAAATAACAATTACATTTTCTTATAATTTTATTTAAATCATAAAGAGAAAATCAGTGTAATATGGAGCCATACTAGAATAAACTACTAAATATTGTTAAATAATTAAGAAAAAATACAACTGTCCTGAATAAGTGACAATGTTTGTGATATTTTTACTTATAGCAAAAGCTATAGAGAAAAGTAGGTACATTTATACTGCATTAAAATTATCATATAAGTTATGTCAATAAATAATTTACTGAAATATAGTTTAGTTCACCTGGAAGCAGAAAATATTAAATATTGATATACCATGAACTACAACTTTTTAATATTACTCCAACTGAAAAGAATTTTAAGTTTTCAATAACTTAAAACTACCTTAATGGTCATCCCTTAAATTTAACATTGTAAAGAACAGCCAAACTTACTACAAATCTCTCTAACTCCTCAAGAAATAAATGTTAGAATTTTATTCAGTCAATAAACAGATACTTGTTGAGACTTAGTCTCAGCAAATATATGTGAGGCACAGAGGTAAAGAGAAAATATAATCTGTATTTTGTCTCAGATTGATAGGAAACAACTAATTCACTGAAGTTCTAGGTTTTTTTTTAATACATGCATTACCTTAAAAAGATAAAATTTGTGGTTACTGTGCTGTCTGAGTTTATCTTGTAATCTCTGTATTAAAAGCTTTACTTGATCTGATCGTGAAGCTGTGATTAGAGGCTCTGCTTTCTGTATCTCTTCTACTAAGGCATTGACATCAGTGCTGAAATTCACAAAAAAAAAGTTACTTTTTTCTATGCCAAAATTTGCATACACATGCAATGCACGAAGAATTGTATTGCGTTACGAAGGATATCTATAAAATGTCAAAACGCCATCAGCTTTACTAAGAGATTTCTGGGGAAAAATACAAATCAATAAAGAAATCGAGCCTGCATGAAAGTGGCTCGGGTTCTTCCGAATGCACCGTCATAAACCGAGACGTCTCCCGTGGAAGGTGTTCAAGGATTCTGATTTCCTCACCTGAGAAGGCCAAGTGCATACTAGTTCTGAACATGAGCTCTTCATTTTCTTCCTGTTGCTTTTTTCTCTTTAATGAACATATACAGAATGTTCCTGGTACCACTATACTTTGAATCTTATATACGCTCTCTTGTTTAATCCTGTAACAACCCACCAATTTAATGCTTTTATCATAATTACTTCAGAGATGAAGAAACTGAGGTTTGAAAAGGCTAAGTTTTAAAAATTCAGTACCTAACCAAAAATGGACATTCAAAGAATGATGATGATTAGTATTTCATATGGACTATAACATCATTCCCCCCCCCAAAAAAAAGCTGCTCTGAAAAGTACAGAGTCAAGGTTTCCCCCAATACTCAAATAATCTATAGCAATGCTGATCAATTTTGCTAGTCCAGAATAATTGTTCAAGAAAAAGAATAATGTCTATAAGCCACAAAGCAGCCAAAATAGATCATTTCGCAAAACACATCACAAACATGTATCAAAGATGCACTGCCCATCCCCTCCCTCAAGAATAGACTCATGGCCCCGCTGGGATGGGGGGTGGGGTTGCCTAGGCAGCTGACAGCCTCCAGCAGCAGCTCCTTAAGGATCCACCTCAGCATCAGATCCCCGAGCCACAGGCAGGCCCTCCTCCAGTAGCCCTCAGCCCAGGCCTGAACAAGTGCACAGTGCAAGATCCTGGCCATTTCTGCCCCCAGAGGAACTCTCACCAGCGAGCTTTATGGAGAGCTCCCTGTGGGCTGGCAGAGACTTGTCACATCTGCATCATCATGGTCAATGGCTCTTCATGCTGAACTCTGCTTCGCTTCCTGTCACAGATGTCACTTCTCAATAACCTGTCTCCCACCTACCTCTCCTATCTCTGTCTCAACAGCTGCTTCCCAGAATTGCAAACTCTGATAAGCATGCCTCTCCTCTTCTAAATAAACAGTTCCTGAGCTCCAGTCCTTATAAGGCACTGAGCTAGAAGTCTATTCATCCCACTAACATTTACCCTACTGTTGCTTAGGTCCTGGGAGGGTAAAAGATACAGTCCCAGCTCTCAAGAAATACAATCTATCGGAATAGGAATGAATATCTAGAACAGAAATGAACCAGAGACAGTTTATAATGATGACTTTGATAAATTCCAAGAGAGTCAGTTGTCAAAGGACTTACAGTTTCCTAAGAATTAAGAAGATGATAATGCCTCTTGGAAAGGTTTCCAGCCACTGTTATAAATCAAAACAGATTTCCCAGCAAGATCTAAATTCACCAGATACTTAGTCTGTACATCCCAACCCTGTGGTATTCTAATTGCCCGTTTCCAATACAGTAACTCCAGTATGTCTCATATCATGCAAATGTTTTTATATGCAGAATTCTTCCAGATTCTTGAGCAGAACCAAAAGTAACATCCATACTTTTTTTTACTTGACATTTATATACCACATAGCATGACTACAGCATCCTAAGGATCTACACTTCTTAAGATCTAGCTGGAAGTTATTCTCTCATATAAACATTAATCTGTGTCACTCATATGATGTTCTGTCTGGTACAGGTTGTTTCTCAAACTAGACAACACAGTCACTGAGGTAGGGATCAAGATTCTTTATAGCCTCTCATTGACTCTAAACTAGAGCTTTGCATGTAGAAGGTGCAAATAACATCATTATGGACTCAGTAAATGAATGTCTGACAAAGGAACTTTCTACCCGCTGGCATAATCAGTAATACGTGCCCGTTAAAAAAATAACCGAAATCTTGACTTGATCTTAGACCTTGTCTTACCTGAAAATAGATAAAACAATGACTTGTTGTAGATGAAATTCAATGCCATTATCTTTGCCACCATTTATTCTTTGATTAAAAAATAAACGATTGAGTACCTTCTGTGTGGTCACTTGGAACAAGAAGAGGACTCAACGTAAACCATCACCATCCAAGCCACACCTTGTCCTCACCCTCAGACAAGTTCCAGAGCCCTCGAGTGACCGCAGCTCTGAGGAGCCATGAGGCAGCTGGGCCTCATTTTAAAATTAGAGAGCAGCTCATTTACTATTTAACTACGGTTATGTGAGATGTCCCTTTGTTCCCCTCCCCGATAATCATGACAAAGGAGAAGGACAGTTACCATGGAAAATCACTTATTTCACTGGATCAACAACTCTGAAACACGTCTCGTGGAATTTTTGTCCTATTTAAAATTTTCTCCCACTCAAAATATCTTTACCTTATCTGAACATGGGCTTCTGCAGGATAATCACTAATCTGATTCTGTCTCTCGAAGTGGAGTTTTGCCTAGGATTTCTTTCTGGTTTGTTTGTTTTTGTTTTTGTTTTGTTTTTTGAGTTTTGCATAGGATTCCCTACAGGGAATGAATTCTGGGCAGTATGATCTCACAAGAGGATTTCTTAACTCTGCCCCATGACAATTAATGAGGAGGATGGAATGCAATCAGCCCTGTGTGATGTTTATCTACCAGGAAAGTAACAGGCTTAGCAGTATGCTTAAAATTCCAGTAACCAGTATTCCTCAAAAATGTTAAGATCATCAAAAAGAAGGGATGTCTGAGAGACCATCTTCACCACGAGGACCCTGAGGAGACTGGATAATGAAATGTAGTGTGGTATCTTGGAAGAGAAAAAGATAATTAGGCAAAAAAAAAAAAAAAATTGAATAAGATATGGTCTTTAGTTAGTAAGAATTTATCAGTACCTGTTCACTAATTAGGACCAATGTACCACACAAATCTACGATATTAATAATGGGGGATGCAGGGCATGGGGTAGAGGAGAGCTCCTATCTTCACAACTTTCTAAAACTATTCTAAACTAAAAGATTAAAAACAACAACAACAATAACTGGTCTATTTAGGACAAAAAACAAAACAAAACACGGCAGACTGATGATACTTTTCCCATCTCCCCCTCACCCAGCAAGATGCTCAAGCAGAACTCGCTGAAGCAAGCCGGAAATAATACAGCACAGGACACTGTTTTAGCAAAGTATTGTCTGAGTTCATGCAGCTCATCCACACATCACCCTGTGTCAGCGTCTTCCAATAGAAAATCTGGATACGAAACCCAGGTTGCATTGAGTAGCTATTTTACCTGGAACTGAGGTTGAGCAAATCTATGGATTTGGTTTTCAACTCTCCACTCTTTTCATATTCCAACATAATTCCTATAAAAATAAGCAAACATGTTATAAAACACTTAGGATGACAACCAATGTCAAAAGCTAATCTACTTTGCCATAATTTTTTTCATTTGTTTTTTAATTTTTTTAATTTCTCGGCATAAAATATACACAGTGATGTCTGATTCTAAAACAAGACTGTGTGACCTCACTTTTCCCTAGTCCTTCCTCTAAATACAGGTACATATCCTTGAAATTATTCAACAGGCAATGCTAAAATAATTGAAGGTTGGGTAGAGAGTAAACTGGCTAGAGTTCTCAGGACTTGAGCAATGATAGTGTGGTGAGTTCCCTGGGTTTTCTTTTTACCTCCCATATACCCCTAAACTGGAAACCAGAGTGACTTGCAGCCTGGAATCACCAAAAAGCATAGACAACAAAAACCAAGCAACAGCAAAACTCGCTTTCTGTGGCCAAAGGACCAGGCAAAGAGAAGTCAGATAAAGAACTAATGGGGAGCCCGAAGCCCTGCTCCACAACTGGGGCTCCTTAGGCAGTCTGATCCCCCAGTGGAAGGAAGCCCTGGGCTGTCCCAGTCCCCCTGCAAAATTGGGCCCCAGCAGTAATCTGATCTGCCTGCAGCAGCCTAGCAACAAGGACCCAGGCCTCCTCAAGACCCTCAGCTAGGGCCCCAGGGGGCCATCTAATCTGTCTACAGCAGCCACAGGGAAGTCCTAGGATCACTCAGTCCCCATTCCACAACCAAGCCATTGGTGGGCAGCCTCATCCACAGGCAAAAGGGGCAGCAATGAAGTCCTGGGATATCCAGACCCCACTCCACAACCAGGCACCAAAGCAGTGTCTTCCTGCCTTTCAACGAGTGGTGTCACCAGGCCTAGAGTCTTGTCCCCCATGTTCCCCTCCCCCCAGAAGGTCACTCAGTGAGAGCAGGCATACTGGGAAGTACCTTCCACTTTGTAGGTGGCACCAGCTGGAACTGAGCAGGAGACTTAGCAGCATCAGAAAAACGAAGCAGACCAGAATAACATTGCAAGGGCTCATGAAACTAAGCTACCATTGGAACTAAAGCCCACAAAGTAGGCCAGAACCTCCATGCTAAATCTAAACATGGTGACAGGCCTGTCAAAGTCGATTCAGATAGGATCAAGAGTCTCCAAACATAAGAACCAAAATGTCCAGGATACAATAAACAGGAAAAGACAATCAATAGATCAAAATACCCAGTATACAATAAAAAAATCAACCATCACACCAAGAACCAGAGAAAGACAATCAACAAGCACAGATATGGAGGTGAATCAGATGCTGGAATTATGTGACAAGGATTTTAAAAAGAGATGTCAAAATACTTTAGCAACCATTCACAAATTCACTTGAAACAAATGAAAAAATAAAAAAAATCTCAGAAAAGTAAAAGTTTTTTAAACAAACTAAAAGGGAATTATAGAACTGGAAAGTTCAATGGGCAAAATGAAAAACTTGTTGAGTAGGCTCAGTAGAAGAATGGAGATGACAAAGGATAGAATGAGTGAACTTGGAGACAATTCAATAGAATATATTCATTCTGAAAAACAGAGAGATAATTTACTGGGGGGGGCGGAAAAAAACACTGAACAGAGCCTCTTACCCACTTTATTGTACTACTTCTATAAATATGGGCCAGTGGATCTCAAAAGTTTTGGCCTTAAGACCACTTTACACTCTTTAAATTATTGAGGACACCAAAGAGTTTTTGTTTTTGTAATATTTTCCATATTAAAATTGAGAAATTTTTAAATTATTTATTAAATTTTAAAATAATAATAAAGTCATAGCATGCTAATGTAAATAACATATTTTATAGAAATAACTAAGAAGAGTAGCATCATTTTAACACTTTTGCAAATTTCTTTAATATCTGGCTTAATGAAAGACAGCTAGATTCTCATCTCTGCTTCTGCATTCAAACTGTTCCTACACAGTGTTTCAGATGAAGTATATGGAAAAAAATCTGGTCATGCACAGATATGTAGTTGGAAAATGAGAAATTATTTTAATTGCATTTCCAAGTAATCAGGGATAATCTTCTTTAATACTATATTAAAGCTTAACAAGTGGTGGGGCGCCTGGGTGGCTCAGTCATTGAGCATCTGCCTCCGGCTCGGGTCATGATCCCAGGGTCCTGGGGTCGAGCCCCACGTTGGGCTCCCCGCTCAGAGGGAGGCCTGCTTCTCCCTCTCCCACTCCCCCTGCTTGTGTTCCCTCTCTTGCTGTGTCTCTGTAGATAGATAGATAGATAGATAGATAGATAGATAGATAGATAGATAAATAAATAAATCTTTAAAAAAAGATAATAAATAATATAAAAAATAAGATAAATAAAATCTTTTTAAAAAAGCTTAACAAGTGGTAATTCATAAAGATTGTTTGCAGTATAGAGTCTGAAACCACATCAGTTAACTCTTCATACTCTGTTACATTGAAATCCATTGGTCTATCTCTCACTCAAAGGATCTTTTATTCATGTATGGTTTATACATCATACACCAGACATCTGAAAATTATTCGTTTACTGAGTTATGCACACCTTCTAAATGTTGGCATATATCATCATACAATATCCCCCCAAAAAATCACATTTGTTAACATCACTACCAATATCTATCATCAGAAAACTCTTTCAGTGTCAGTAAGCTGCCCAGCTCATGACAGTAGATACAAGTTTTCTGAAATTCTAATTTTTGCTTGAAAGCTCAAATTTTATCACTGGCAAGAAATGCTGACAGTTTGGCTTGAAAGTTCCAGGCTCACTTTGCTCGTTTCCAAACAAAATGTCTTCCAAATGTCCAAGTCTGAAAGCCACATTTGTTTTTCAGTCTTTCTAGTAAAACAGGTGTTTCATGAAGAAAATGGCTGGTTCATCTCTCAGTTCACATGACCGCACAAGTGTTTTCCTCAAAACAACTATCAAACATCACTGTGCAGCAGAAGGGCTTAATGAGAACTTTCTACTGCATCAGCCAGAAGGCAAGTACTCTCAGGTCAGTATTTGACTACATTAGTAAGTTTTACTGCTTCATCAAGGGCATTCCTAAGTGAAACTGAGGGGGTTTCTTCCTATCACCAATTTGTGTCAGTGAGAAATACAATGACCGCTATGAAAGTTTGTTGCTACCGCCTGATGTGGAGTAAGTTTCCAGAGATTTCACTTCCCAGGACTTTTGTTCCCAGTAGTGCAAATGTCAACACCATGAAAAATCCAAATGGTATCTGCTATTATGGAAAGAGATGTGGCCTTGAGGCCCCACTGAAAGGACATAAGAGCCCCTAAGGGTCCTCCTACAATTTGAGAATAGCTGCCCTAACTTCATAAATTTGATATAACAGATGGGATTCCAGAAGGCTTTTAGATCAAGAGAAAATAAGAAATTCCATCCAAAACACTGTATTTACCTTCCAAAGCACTGAACCGTTGAGATAGAATGTGGCTGAGTTGAAAAGGCATGCACGCGGCATCAAACAGATCCAGGTTTGAGTTGAGCTCAAGTCCTAACTTATTTCATGTTACAGGAATCTCTTTATATCTCAGTCTTCTCGTTTACAGATAATACCTTCATTTTGCTCGTTGAAATAATATGTAAATAAAGCACCTGGCATCTAGAAACTCGTTAAGTAGTTCTTACTATCTAATGAGGAATCAAATATTGCCTTGTGACACATAGTCACCTTGTATTACATAAATTGCCTCTATGCCTTCTCTCCCCAGTGAGATTTTAACAGCTTTGAAACCATATGCTTCTTTGTACTCCCAGGAAGACCCTCCTGGGAATGAGTCATGATGATTTATTCACAGTAAGCCCATGATTTAGCCAACTTCAAGTACAAACAACACTGTCAAATGGATTTACACCTTCCCCTCTCTGGCCTTCATTTCTCCCTCAGTGGTGCCTGCCCCTCCCCGTTGTCTTTATGATCTTTCTGTTTTCTGTCCTCCCCACATCGGACTCACTAGGCTATGCACTCCTGGGCCTGTCTTCTCTTTATCCCTAGTGTCCACCATGAAATTTGGTGCGCAGGAACTGTTCAAGCAGCACTTGTTGAATACAAGCTAACTGACAGATGACTGGATGAGTGTCCCCAGATTGCTTAATGCAATTGACAGTCCTTATCTTTATGGCACATGGACTTTCAAAGATAATCAACACCATGACCAACTCCCTCCTTCTTCAAATACGATTCTCCATCGATTTTTATGAAATCTCTCTGTCTTTTTTCTCTACTTTGTTACTTTTCATTCTCCTTTACTGATTCCTCCTCTTAGACCTGACCTTTAAATACTGATTTAGGGTAGGGTTCGGGTCTAGGAGCTCTCTCTTTACATTTTTTTTCTCTGTATAAATTCACCCGTACCCATGGCTTTGATTACCATCAGTATGCCAACAATTACCAGCTGTAATCTCCCATCTAGACCTCTGAGTTCCAGACGTGTGGATATCTCGCCTGTACCCCAAACAAGTCCAGGATCTTCCCCCTCAATCCTGCTTCTCCTACAGAGCTTGTTTCCCAGTGTCAGACATCACCACTCACTGAACTGCACAGCTACAGTCTTGGGAGGAATTCACCTCAACACAGTCGCACTGCACGGATTTGGCACAACCTAAGCAGGTAAACCCAAGCAGCTGTTGTGTAACGAAGTGTAACATTTTAGAACTGAAAAATCATTCCATATGCTTTTAATGACCAGAACACCAGGACACAGCAGGCAAACAACCGTAACTAAAAGGCTAGTTCGGGATAGTTTTATTTTGTTTCTTTTCCCCAAGAAGTGATCTTTTCATATCAAAGACTTGAAATCAGACTCCAGTCTAAGAAGCAAACTTACAAAGAAAAAAGAAAGGATCAGTGGAGAGCCAACCATTGTAAATACTGTTATTTCCTTAGAGTAAAAATCGGCTTCTTGTTCCACATTAACATTTTCAATAAAATATGGATGTTGTAACATTGTAAAAATCTTCTCAAAAACCTATTTATATGCCGCGTGTTCT